TTAGTAACAATTTCAATGAATTAACAACCACTCTCACCTGTTTATCACACAGGATGTTATGTGTCTTCTCATTCGTCGATACGTCAGACATATAGAGAGACTGAAAATAGGAGAAGGAGATAAAAGTAAGTCTGTTTTATCCAACATTCTATGTGGAATCTCTCTCTCCCCCCCCCCCTCCCCCTCCCAAGCGTCTCTGTCTGCTCCATTATCTGGATTTCATATTTTTGCCAGGTCAGGCAGGTGTGGTGGGACGAGAACAGGCAGATAGTCTGGCTGGTTCTGCATCTCTTAGTAACGAACTGTTGCATGACATGCTAGATGCTGTAATGCCTATTGGGAGTGAGTAATCAGTACGGAGGCACAAACAGATCATCACGGTCTGAAGATAACTGGGCTGCGCGGAGTTACCAGCGCTAGTTATATTGTTCTCCGGTTTTCTCAATGTGTGTCCTGTCCAGCGCCAGCGTCTTTTCTTCACCTCTTGGTCCACTGGATCTTGTTTAGTTCTCTCCCAACGCTCTACATTAATGATTCTATCAAACCATGTAATCCCCTATATTCTGCGCAGGCAGCAGTTAATGAATGTCTTTAGTTTCTTAATAATTGACTTAGTTGTTCGCCATGTTTCTGCTCCTTACAAAAGTACTAATTGGACATTAGAATTACAAATTATAAGTTTAGTATTTACTTTAATTTCTTTTGACCTCCATAAATTCCCTAATGCTATGAAAGCTCCACAGTTATTGTCAATAGTTATGCATCACTTTGTAGTAAATGTATGCATAACAAGCTGGATGTTGTAAATATACTTTGGGAGTAAGTGAACAGGGCGGGGACAGAAATAGATTATCAAGGTCTGAAGTAAATGGTGCAGCAGGAAAAGGCCAGACAGACACACAATCAGATTGCTGCTAGTAGCATCGGAAATGGATGCATGACAAGCTTTGGGAGGGAGTGAAAAGGCGAGTAAAATGTCGAGGGAAAAGGCGAAAAATGCAATTGTGTTGACATGTGATAAGACTCAAAAGCCTCCCAAAAACAATACTGCAGGGTTCAGTAGAGGGAAAGAGGAGAAGAGACAGATCAAGATAGACCTGGTACAGAACCTGACTGACTGGACAGGCCTCAGGCATGCAACCATGAAGTCCATCACAACTGACCGCCAAAGGTGGAGAGAGCTGATCAAACAGTCAACAAAAACTGGTGACACGACGACATGTACTGTAACAGGTTAATGATGATGATGATGACGAGCATCGAAAATGGCACTCTTTGCTAGTTGCTGACGATGGACGAAGCCCCAATGCGAATGGCTTGCATACTTGCATGCCAGTTATTAACTCATCTCATCCCATTGATTCGTCCACAGCTTCCAATGATGAAATACTTCGAAGACTAATCGAAAGAATGAGTGCCAAAGTTGAGAAGCGTCTGGACGAACTCCAGTTCAAGATCACCCGCTTGGAGAGGGAGCTAGAGGAGGCCAAGTCTGAGTCTGGCAGGTCTTATGAGCTGCAGCAAGAGCATTTCGAGAAGTTCGTGGAGTTTACAGGTCGCAAGATTCGAGAGGTATGTAGGTCACTAGGTCTTTCCGTCTGGTCTGTTCCTATGTCTTTGGCACTTAAGAATAGTCATCTTGTCGAAGTATTAGAAAAGTCTCCACATTATCTCAAGAAGAAGGATTTCATAAGATTGTGTGTGTGGGGGGGGGGGAGGGGGGCATCTGGTGATATTGTTAAGGGTTATGTTGACATTAATCTTTCCAAATAGAGTAGGTCAATTTTGATTCACAAGTTTGTTGAGCTGGTCGACTTTCCTGAAGGTTACGGGTGTGTCCCGCTGTGTTGTTTGCTTTCTATGGTGTCTTGCATTAACGCTTTTATTTGAGGAAGAGAATGCCTGTGACATAAGTTGCAGCACTCTCTAGGGGGTGTTGTTTTAGGACCAGTTTCTCCAAGTTTTTGATGTGTTGAAAGCGCTAGCGTGCTGAAATTTACAACACGAGATGTCAACGGCATTGCGGAACACCCCTCGTAACCTTGTGCCAAGATGACAAGTTCAGGAAATACCAATCAGAAGTGAGCTAGTGTGTATATGTGGCTAGACCAACGTTATGTTTACCTAGGGTTAGATTTAAGGTTGTGTTTAAGGTTTAGGGCAAAGGATATTGTTAAGATTAGTTATGGTTAGGTCGAGGCTAATGTCACGATTAGATCAGCCATGTAGCAGAGATCGGTTTTTAAAAGCCTTAGTAATAATTCAAACATATGGCCACTGAGCCGGTATGTATTTATGCATTTATTATAATAACTATCAATGTGAATGTAGTGGTTTCTATGAGGAAACATTCAACAAACACAATTTTTTTTAAAACTGACATTGGCTCCCAGGTCGACCCAGCGTTAAATAAGTACCAGGTAACGTCTTGGGTAGTAAAGGCGACTGGTAGGATGTTGACCACATGCCTATTCTTCTTCTTCTTCTTCTGCCTTTCTATCAGTTGATGAATGTCTGTAATTTATTAGTAATTGCCTTCGTTGTTCTCCATGTTTCCGCCCCATACAATAGTACTGATTTGACATTAGAATTAAAAATTTTTAGTTTAGTATTTCTTTTAATTTCTTTTGACCTCCTCAAATCCTTTAGTGCTATGAAAGCCCCTCTTGCCTTTTGTATTCTTATTTTAATATCTCTATCAGTTCCTCCATCTTTATCTACATTACTGCCTAACTAGGTGTACGACTCCACGTCTTGGAGTGGGGTGCCATTAGGGGAAACCACATTACTATTTGCCTGATTTATTCTCATTATCTTTGTCTTTCCTTTATGGATTTTCAGACCAAGCTGCTGTGATCTCGCATTAAGTATATTTAATTTATCTTGCATCTGATTCCGTGAATGGGACAGAAGAGCAATATCATCAGCGAAATATGCCTATTGGTCTATATAAAATCGGTCTCGCCCTATATGCACAATACAAATAAAGGCTTGGAAAATTATCTTTTACGTTTTACTTACTTACATTTCGTGTACGGCTCTGTGCTTCACAAAACTTAGTAAAAGCGGTTCACTGCAATCAACGGAAAAGGATTTATCACACTAGCAGACGGTTGAGAAAGACAAGACTGTTCTTGCGCTTTGCAAGCAGTAGTACAAGAGTAGCACTGTAGAAGAACTGGAGGCGCCACTACCTAATATTTTTTTTTTTAAACAGTAGTGGTTACACATAGCTACTACACCTAACATCAATTTACACACACACACGCACACAATTAAAAAAAAGGAAAAACAAATGAAATACAGTGTTAGGTATACGTGCATTTCCGTTCATGTTTATGTTTTTTTTAACGGATCAACATCATGGCACACGGATGTAACCCATAAGTGCTCCGTTTTACTTTGAACTCGAACCTGAGTCTGAAAATCTCCGCTCAGTGCACGAACTCGGATACACCGGCGAGGATCTTGAAATAGTTTTGGTAGATTTTTAACTCCAAATTTTGCCCGGGCAGCGGCGTAAGGCTACTCTTTTTTCTATTTGCAACTGCCAAGAGATTTTTACGTTTGCAACAATACACACGGGCGTCCAGTATTACTACCCAGAGATCTTGGGAAATTACTAGAAATCCACATCCCAGCCTTCCCCAGAGGCGAACGCCATGCCTCGAGACTACGCAGCTCCCTAATCCGTTCATGATCATTGGATGTGTACTTTGCCATCGTTCATGTGGAGTTTTGGGAGATAACTAAAGAAGTCCCAGTGGAGCAAGAGGTGAAGAAAAGATGCTGGCGTTGTTCAGGTGAATTTCAAACAGATGGGGATTACAGAGTAGAGCTACATTCGATAGGAAAAGATAGAGCCACTTAGTTTGAGTTAGTTGAGGGCTTTTGTTCCATGGGGGAATTCAGGAGGGGGGGGGGAGGGGTTGGAGAGGCAGAAGGAAAAGGCCATTTTGAGGGTCAGGACCGGAATCTACGACCTTCCGATCCGCTTGCTAGCGTCTAACCACATCAACATGGCGGCTATAAGGGCAATAACTGTTAAAAAATTTGTTAACAAATACAAAACTAGGTTGATGAAATAAATGACAATTTAACTTTACATCACCTTTGTTTGAGAGGAGTCGAGTGCCTTCTGGGATGGGGCTGAGGAGGTAGGAGGAGGAGATGTTATTGTTTGGAAGGAGAGGCTTCTTCTAACAAAACTTCACAAACCAAATTCTGGTGTGTCCCCCCCCCCCCCCCCCCCCCCCCCCCCCCCCCACTTTCTTTCCGCTACTTGAACCTGGTTGAGGCTCAGCAGGTTTGACGTTTTTTATCAAAAAATAGGTTCAAGGAATTTTGGACTTTTGCCTTTTCCTTAGGATATTTAAGAAATATGTCATTGTGTTGTTATTCTGGTGGAACGGTTAGAACCATGGGCTCTCAAGCGGAAGACTCGGGTTCGAATCGTCGGTAGGGCTGAGGATTTTCTTTCTTTGGGGGTAGAATAAATCCTCACCTGCACAGTCGTGGCGACAGCACTAGCCATGCGGTCGTACATCCACAGGTTTAAAGACCCCCATCCCCTCCCCGCCTACAACGCTGAAGTGGTAAATTAAAGGCAGTAATTGGCAGGTGGCTCTCATGGGTTGTTGGACTTTGTTAAGGCGGTACTTCTCTGCAAAGTCATTGACAACTATCCGTGGCTTTGTCTTGAAGTCTATATAAAGACAGCGCGATGGTCTGTATTGAAAACAAAGGTCGTAAACCAAGAAAACGGTTTCCGTCTAAATATGACGTATACCACGTTAAACGTATACACAGCAAACGTATACCGAAGTACCACTGTAGTTCTGTTTGATTAACTGCTCTAAGTGGGCCAATCAAAGCCTTGTTAAAACATTTACTGTAATCTGATGGAGGTTTTAGGGTGAGGTGGTAGGGTGTGATTCAAACGCATGTTCTAAATAAACAAGAGCTAACAATAATACCACTGAATATGAAGTATTAGTATGAAATAGATAATCTCCTATTTACCACTAGAAGAAAAAAAAAAAAAAACTTTGAAGTAAGAGAAACAAGGTACTTGTTATAAGTTCCTGGTGTGTAAAAAAATTTTTTTTTAATCAAAAATAAATACAAATAAATTAGGTTCATTTTTGAGGATACAGTAACAAACAGTGTTTTTAAATTCTATAATAGTCTAGGGAAGAGACACCCATGGGAGATTATGTAAGTATATCCTTATAAATGTAACGGTTTTGTGCGCACGATGTTTTCTAACATATTTCCCTAACAACAAATAGTTATAGAGCTGTAACATTTCCTTCTAGTAATCTTGTATCAGTTTATTTGTCTGATTGATTCTATTCTTTCTTTCTGCCTTTCCAACTGACTGTTTTTCCATGAGACTGTCTTTCTCACTGTCCTTTGTTTCTTCTGTCTTTCTAAATTACTTTCTGTGACGACTTCTACTTCCGTCAATGATAAACTGCAATTCTAGTAGCAGAATGTAGGTGTTGGCACATGTAGAGGCTGCTTGCTCTTTTACTGCGTGTGCTTGGTGTTGGTTTTTCTAGGGCTGTAGGTTGTTTCAGAAATGGCACAGGAGCCGAGCAGCTGTGTGGTGACTCGATTGTCGCGAGGATGAACCTGCCACTAACAGATGACTAACTACATTTCTTTTAAATGTCATGTTATCTACGTATTTTTCCACTTGTTCTCTATCTGATGATATTAATTCAATTTCTTTGTTTGTTTCATTTTTTGTTGGCTTTCAATTGTGTATTTCCATCTTTGTTTTTCTCCTCTTGTTCTTTCTTTCCTCCCGACCTTTACTTTATGCCCGTCCTAATGTCTGCATTTCTGTTTTCATCCTGTCTGTGTTTCTTCTGTTAATTCGCTTCCTTCATTATGTTGGAGAGTTCTTATTTCGTATTTTTTTGTGTGTTTTAATTTCCGTTCTTTTTGAGTTTCTATAGTGACAGGTTGACAGAACTAACCACTTTATTATAATGGGGAAAAAACTAATCAAAATACAAACAAGTATTGGCATCAGTTGAACCTATTGCTGAGCATTGAACATACCATCATCATCATCATCATCATCTATCACCATCATCATCATCATTATCATCATCAGCCAACCAGTTCTTTAAAGAACGTCGTTCTCGTCATAGCCCGCTTGAAAGTTTCTCTTCCTCTAACCAATTATCCAGACATACGTTTTTTCCCTGGCCAGTCATCTTCCGAGTCTTTGTATTCACATTCTACCTCGCTTTCCAGAAAGGGTACTCTCTCTCTCTCTCTCTCTCTCTCTCTCTCTCTCTCTCTCTCTCTCTCTCTCTCTCTCTCTCCCTCTCTCTCTCTCCTCTCTCTCTCTCTTCTCTCACACAGGTTTTTCTCCAGGCCACTATCATGTTTAACGTCGACACACACACACACAGTAATTTTTTTTGGACAGGATGTTGTTGATGAGCCAATTCTCCTCGATGCCCAGATCATGTATGATGTTGTTGATTTTCTTCTTCTTGATTCATGGTATTCAAGGTCATGTAGTTGTAGGCATATACATGTATCGACAAATAAGCACTCGACTGGTGATGTGATCTATTTCAAAACTCCCGTCTTTACTTTCAAGAGGATGATTTATTATTTATTTTAGAATAAATAGAGCTGAGAGAGCATGGTCGTTGTAATAATACAATAAAATTATTAGCACATGCAGCAGCTGTTGCAAGTGGTGGTGGTGGTGGTGGCGGTAGCAGCAGAAGCAGCAACAACAACAGTAAAGCGGCACCAGCAGTAGTAGTATTGGTGGTTAAAGTACTGGTGGTTAAAGTATTAGTTAGTGTTACATCTCCGTATTGAAAAGTCAAAATTTCAAAGGGTGGTAGATTAAGCATAAATTCTGGTTAGGGTAGAGTCAGGGTTAGGGTTAGGTAAACGCGCAAAAACCTTGGCCTTGGAAGAAACGCGCTAAAGAACAGCAAACACGGAAAACCCGTTCTTACCACCCTCTAAAATGTTGGACTGTCGCGTGACGTCATTTGTGGTCGCCTGAAAAAATAATGCACCTTTCTCTGCAGCTTACGGCTTCCTTGTCTCCCAGGCAGATGGACTCTGACTTCGAAGAAAGCCCCCATTTGGTGGATCTTACGACATGTTTGTTGCCGAGGCCGTGGATCTGTTCCCACCCCCAAAGTAGACCCTGGAGCCCACACGGGAAGCTTTTTGTTTACAGACTACCAACAGTAGGATGCGAAAATTGTGCATACCCTCTACATTTTGCCGACCTGTGCAGCTGCGCATGTTGCACAGTACACAAACACAACCCTTGCCTGACAACAGTAACGGTATTAGTAAACCGGAACCTATTACAGAATCTCTGTTATTTATAGCACTCTAGTTTCTTTACCTTAATTAATACCTGTGATTGTACAGTTGCTCTTCCAGTGCTGGTACAGGGTACTCATTGCGAGGCAAACACACAAAATAGAACCACTGCCTTTCCAATAAGCATGTCGTAGAAGTCGACTAATTGGGGGCATTCCTCAAAGTCGGAGTACCTATGTCAAAGAGGCATGGAACCAAGAGTCTGCATTTAAATGAGCTAGATGTGTACGAACAACTCAGGTTCTGGAACAAGACTAGACCCCAGAAGTGGACTCAGATTCCAAACCTTCCGCCGGAGTTTACAGCTGGTGAATGCGACGAAGAATCAGATGTGCATTCGCTGGTGAAACTCAGGATGCATGTTCGTGCTGTGTCAAAGGTGATGTGCATGGAAATAGGTAGCTAGTGTGTGTTATACTAACCGGATTGTTCTTCGAGGCTCACATTACTGACACTAATTTATGTGTACGTGCGATGTAGCGGCGTGCTGCTTCGCTTCTTCTTCTTCTTTTTCTTCTTCTGCTTCTTTTTCTTCACTTTCATTTCTAAAACTGTGTGTGTCGATGGAGCTATACATTTCTGATTTCTTTTTGCCTTTTCATCGTCGTACTGTTGCAGATATTCGGTATTGTTATCATTCCATCTTCTCGGGTTACTCCTACAGCCATTCTAAAACATTCCAATTTCGTGCTGCCCCTTGAAATATCTTTGTATATCTACATTCTACTTCCATACAACTGTTACATCAACTTTTTTTTTAAATTTACATTTCTTAACATTATCAGTTAACGGGTTAAAATTTGTTAAATATACTTGCTTATGATGCCATCTAATTAACCTATTGTTTATATTAATGTCCTACTTGTGTACATTTCTGTATGGTCTACCAGTTGACATATCCTAATTCACTTTCTCCCTATTAAAATTTCTCCTACCTGTTGATATCTCTCAAATTCTTTTTGACATTTCCTAAAGTTAACCCCCACCTTACCCCACGCTTTTCTCTAATTTACCTGAACTTGATGACCCCTGTTAAATTTGTGGTCATCTCCAAAATATACCTGTTGATGCCTCTTAAATTTCAATTCAATGTCAACCCCACCAGAGCAGCAAAGAAAGCAATATACACCGGTGACAAAAGTGCCGCCATTCAGATGTTAATCACCCGGGTACAAGTCTCAGAAACCCTGTTCAACCGTAAGGTTATATTAGGGCCACTGACAACAGATCACTAAAAATACAAGAAAAGACAAGGTTAAAATTACCAGCTTTAGGGCGAAATTTGGAATAAGACCAGTCTGGATTATATTGACAGACAGAGAATTAAATGTTTCGGATATCTAGTGAGAATGCAGGCACACCACACTGCGTATAAGACTTTTTAAAGCAGAACGCCTGAGAGGAAGACGAGGGGGAGAACAAGGAGAGGTGGACAAATGGTGAAGCTAAAACCTGAAAAATTATGAACAAATACATCATCCAAGCCACAGAAGCGCAAAACAAATACAGAAAGGCACGACACTGGGATATAATCTGGTATCAGTGAGACGACAAGACTACGACACTGGACAACAGCCTGGTATCAGTGAGACGACAAACCCACGACACTGGACTACAAACTGGTATCCGTGAAACCACAAAACTACGAAATTGGGCAATAACTTCGTATCAGTGAAGACGATCAAACCACGACACTGGGCTACAACCTGGTATCAGTGAGACGATCAAACCACGACACTGGGCTACAACTTGGTATCAGGGAGACGATCAAACCACGACACTGGGCTACAACCTGGTATCAGTGAGATGATCAAACCACGACACTGGGCTACAGCCTGGTATCATTGAAGCGACCAAACTACGAGATTGGGCCATAACTTCGTATCATTAAGACGATAAAACCACGACACTGGGCTACAACCTGCTATCAGTGAAGCGACCAAACTACGAGATTGGGCTATAACTTCGTATCAGTGAAACGATCAAACCACGACACTGGGCTACAACCTGGTATCAGTGAAGCGACAAAACCACGACACTGGTTTACAGGCTGGTATCAGTGACGCGACAAAACCCCGACACTGGGTTACAGCCTGGTATCAGTGAAGCGACAAAACCACGACACTGGGTTACAGCCTGGTATCAGTGAAGCGACCAAACTACGAGATTGGGCCATAACTTCGTATCATTAAGACGATAAAACCACGACACTGGGCTACAACCTGCTATCAGTGAAGCGACCAAACTACGAGATTGGGCTATAACTTCGTATCAGTGACGCGACAAAACCCCGACACTGGGCTACAACCTGGTATCAGTAAAGCGACAAACCCACGACACTGGGTTACGGGCTGGTATCAGTAAGATGACAAAACGACGACAATGAGCTACAGTCTGGTATCAGTGAGACGACAAAACCACGACAGTGGGCTACAGCCTGGTATCAGTGAGACAACAAAACCACGAGATCGGGCTACAATCTGGTATCCAAGAGGTGACAAGACCACGACACTGGGCTACAGCCTGGTATCAGTGAGACGACAAAACCACGACACTAGAATACAACCTGATATCAGTGAGACCAACAAACCACGATGGTGGGCTACCCCCGACACTTCGATGCGGTAAAAGGTGGAAGAGAAGAAGATCAGTGAAACGACAAAACTTCGACACTGGGCTGCATCATGGTATCAGTTAGACCACAACATGACGACGGTGGACTAGAACCTTGTATCAGTGAGACCACAACATGACGACGGTGGACTAGAACCTTGTATCAGTTAGACCACAACATGACGACGGTGGACTAGAACCTTGTATCAGTGAGACCACAAAACCACGACACAGGGTTACAACCTGGTATCAGTTAGACCACAACATGACGACGGTGGACTAGAACCTTGTATCAGTGAGACCACAAAACCACGACACAGGGTTACAACCTGGTATCAGTTAGACCACAACATGACGACGGTGGACTAGAACCTTGTATCAGTGAGACCACAAAACCACGACACAGGGTTACAACCTGGTATCAGTTAGACCACAACATGACGACGGTGGACTAGAACCTTGTATCAGTGAGACCACAAAACCACGACACAGGGTTACTACCTGGTATCAGTTAGACCACAACATGACGACGGTGGACTAGAACCTTGTATCAGTGAGACCACAAAACCACGACACAGGGTTACAACCTGGTATCAGTTAGATGGCAAAACCACAACACTGGTATCAGTGAGACGACAGAAGGTGAAGAAGACAACCAACGCCGTGGGACTTTGAAGCAAACAAAATATTTTTTTAGAAAATTGCGTCTCATATTGAAGTAACACTTCGATGAGGTACAAGGTGGAAGAGAAGAAGGAAAAAAAAGAAGAAGAAGAAGAAGAAGAAGAAGAAGAAGAAGAAGAAGAAGAAGAAGAAGAAGAAGAAGAAGAAGAAGAAGAAGAAGAAGAAGAAGAAGAAGAAGAAGAAGAAGAAGAAGAAACGAAGACGAAGAATAATGGGGTAAAGGTTCTTTACATTTGCATCTATTAAATTTACTTCCTACCAGTTAATGTCTCTTAGATGTACCCGTTATGGGTTGACATTTTGAAAATCCACCCATTTGTCTGTTTACCTTTAAATCTGCTTTCCACGGTTTGACATTTGTTGTATCTATCTCCTCCCCAGAGCGACAGATACATACATTTCCTAGACGAAGCCAAGTTGCAGATTTTAGCAAGGATGGACTCTGAGCGCATCCAGATGGAGAAGGTTATTGAAAGCAGAGTGGCCCACTTAGGCAAGAAACTGGACGAAAGCTCCAGCCAGATGAGCCAACAGCTAGAAAGAATTAGAGCTTCCAGAGCTGCCGCCGGGAGTGGGTCTCCGGGCAGGTTCAAACCCGCGGACTAGATGTTAGGTGTGATGATTTGTTGTTATGTGTTTTGAGTAGAATATTGGTATTTTTGAGTGTGTGTGTTTGTGTGGCGGGAAGTGAGCGGGGGCGGGGGGGGGGCGAAAGAGAGAAGAGAATGAGAAAGACGAGAAAGGGAGCAACATAAATGTAGAGACAACGCGAGAGAATTAGCTGGAGAAAGCGACAGGCAGTTTCAAAGAGAAAGTAAAAACTAAAGGTCTCTTTACCACTTTTTTAGTCGTTTTGGGAATATAGGGCTAGACCTTTAATTTTATAGACGAATCGGCACTTGGTGGGCGATGTGGTCAGCATCACGCCGACCGTCACAGAGAAAAACCAACGAAATATATATAAATATATATAGAAATAGAGATGAGATGAGGAATGTATCAACAGATAGAGCCAAAGAGAGAAAACCAGATAGAGAAATTACATACATACCAACAAAGAGGAAGAGACACAGAAGGATTGATGGGGGGAGAGGGGGATGGGGGGTGTCAGGAAGAGCAAAGAAAGAAGTGAAGAAAAAAAAAGGAAATATCAGACATTTTGTGAGTGTAAGAATAGTTGGATAGCAAATTTGAATAGAACAGCATTAGTTAGTTAGTTAGTCTTTCCTCTTGTGTCGAGTGCGGCACATAGGGCAGAGGTCATGACTCTCCATGCATGGCGGTTCGTTGCAATCTGTTGTAGGTCTTGGATGTTTGAGTGGCCCATGAGCGAGCCTTCCCTGATGATAGTTCTTCGTAGGGTTTCCCTTGGTCTTCCACGAGATCTTTTCCCCTGTGGTGTCCAAATGAGGGCTTGGTAAGGAAGTCTTGATTTATCCATTGTAAGGGCGTGGCCGACATAGTTCCAGCGGCGTTTTCGTATAAAATTAGACACAACTCTTGCCTGGATTCTTGTCTTACTTGTGCATTGGTTCGGAAATCTGACCATTTGAAATTTAGTATTCTTCTAAGGCATTTATTTTCAAAACTAATTTTGTCTCTAGAGTTTTCGTTGATTTCCAGCTCTCGCATCCATAGGTTAGTACTGGAATCACACAAGAATTGAAGATCTTGAGTTTTGTGTGTTTGCTAAGTGTCTTTGATTTCCAGATGTTTGACAGTTTATTGAAGGCACTAGATGCCAGTGCTATTCTAAATGGTATTTCTGGTGCGGTATCTCCTGTAGATGACATCGTGCTCCCTAAAAAGTAAAACTGTTGACT